CCTCAGCTCCGTGCGCAGACGTCTCTGGGCTGCAGAGGCATCATGGAGTGGAAATCATCAGTTTAGAGATATCATTGAAACCCTGGAGTTAAATGTGATGACAGAGAGAGACTGTCACATGAGAAGGGAATAGGGCCAAAGGGAGATTCTGAAAATTGTGAAAATATGAGATGAGGAGAGGAAACACAGAAAACAAGGAGACATGGGCAGGGCAGGAAGAGAACCAGGAGCACATGCAGCCAAAGGAGAGACCTTTTTGAGAAAGAGGGAGTGGTCAGTGGCATGAATGTTTTAGAGAAGCCAGAAAAAACAACAACAACAACAACAAAACAAACCCTGAGATTTGTTCATGGATTTAGCAGCATCCAGGCATTGGGTGATCGTGTCCAAAAACAGCATGGTGAGGACAAGCACCAGACGGGTTAGGTGGAATAATAAGAAACCAGAAAGTCAGCATTGCGAATATTACTAAATCTCCCCAGAGATTTGCCAAAGAGGGGTAGAAGACAGGAAGGGGACCTATCATCCACGCTAGGAACTTTGAAAGGTTGAAGAGAAAAACCGAGCATTTCTAAATGTTCCTAACAAGGAGTTAGCAGGCACGGGGCGGTTGGCAATTGGAGAAAGGTGGGAAGATTTCTGAGGTGACATCCAAGTATACTTTGAGTGCTTGACCTTGGACAGATTGAAAAACAGCTGTCGGCTTATAATGAAAAGGGGTGCATCTGCTTTTTGAAAACTTTACTGGCCCTTCGGAGAATGAGCCGGAAATGCAGTCTGAGGAGGAAGGGAGTGGATGGGAAGAGAGGACAAACGTTTGCATGGCATTGGGAAAATGACAAAAAGAGTCAAGCGAGGAAACAGGGCGTTAGCACGGCACTGGGTAACTAGTTAAATCTAGAGCCTGTCAGGTTAGAATAACACCCTTCTCAGACTTGTGAGAATTTCATCCAGCAGCTCTTACAAAGCCCAGAGAAGCCTAGTGAGGTTCATTAGCTGGACTGATCCCAAATTGGGTTCTGACTGGCAGGACTGTTGAAGGCAGGGCATTAGGAGAAAATGGCAAGAAGGTTGAGGATATTGGCCGAACATTGTATGAAATCATGAACTATCTAACAGAGAATGAGATATAAAAGCAAAAGGGAGATAACAAGGGAAGAGAATGGCGACAAGGAGAAAATGAGGAAAGCAAAGGATTGGAGGCATCAGGTTAGAGAACAAGCGTGGTGACAGAACGGGATCAGCTGAAGATGGCAGTTAGAGAGTGACGGACTTGATTTTACAATTTCGAAAGGAGAATTTTTCAGGCTCTCAGTTATGGGCATGGGTGACAATCATGGGAGAAGAGGTGAATGTCATTGGAATTGAGGAGGTCAGCGAACTGTGCTATTGGTGTTGAATGACTGCCCTAGCGAGCACTGAACTACGGCTGGTTGAAGGCAGGACTGGAGACAGAGCATCTCTAAGGGCCAGATGCTTGGTCTCCAGTGGATGAGTGGACTGAAGCGGTTGGCAATGCCAGTACAGAGTGCGGAGGTGAAGGCGAGCAAATTCTGTGACCGTCAGTTCGGTCAGTGTAGGCTTTGTATGTGACTGATTTAAACCAATCCTGGAAAAGGTCTGTGGTCTCACAATAACTTCCCTACTTGTTTTCCAGATTCCAATTCATTTACTTAGACTTCATTTTAAAATGTTACTTTGTTTTGACACATTAGCTTTATCTCGTCAAATTATTTTCTGATCTGATAGGTACAAATGAATATGTTACTATAAGACAAAAATAAAGGCAACTTTTTATTTCATCTCGACTATAACATGCGTTTTGAAGGATTTATGAAGATAATGAGAGCTGGCCCTGTCACCTACTGGTTAAGGGAGCAAGATTCCATGTGGCCAATCGCAGTTTGAATTCCAACCCAGGCAGGTTAAAATACACACTGGGCACATGCGCGGGAATGCCCCAGTCCAGACAGGATGAGGAAATGGAGGAGAAAGGCTTGGGGCACGACCACATTCCATTGATGGGTGCTTGCTTTCTTCCTCTCTCTGTCTCTTGTCTAGCAAGCACACACACTCTCTGGCAATTAGAAAAATAAAGAATGAAATACTGCTCCATTCATGAAATATGAGAGAACTTTGAGAAGCTCATGGACAATGGAATTAGAATATGGGTTCGCTTTACTACAAAAAAATTTAAATCCATGCATAGTTTTATCATAATACTAATTTCCCATGAACCCCTTTCATGAACTTTCTGAAGACTCCCCATATTTGCAATATAGTAGAGAAACGTATTTGATGTAAATAAAGATAATGTAATGTTACTACATGTGTGTGTGTGTGAGACAACAGAGCTGGAAACATTCCTGGTAATTTGAGGTGACCAGATACGTACCAAACTAAGTCTCACTTATGAAAAGAACTTTGTTTTTTGAAAGTTCAAAGAAAGGAAAGGACAACCATTTTATTTTAATTCTACCTAGGATTTGCTTCCTTTCCCCCAGTTGAGTCCTATTTCCAAGTTCATCACTGTGTACTCTAGAAAGTGCAGACGAAGGACTGGTCCCATAGCTCAGGGGTTAAGCCCTGTGCACTGGAAGCTGGATCCCACGCAGGTGGCCATGGTTTGAGTTCAGGCCCCAGCCCCTGGCAAAACATGCCTGGTGGCCAAATCCTGATGGCATTGAGAAATGGAGGAAAAAAGATTGCGGCATGACCACACCCTATCGGGCATGCTTCCTCTCTCCCTCTCTCTGGAACACACCCTCTGGCAATTAAAAAAGATAAATAAATAAGAAAGAGCATGTGAAGATGTCATTGCCCTTCTTTTAATAATCACTTCCAGTCTTCAAAAGAACCACACGAGGGCGGGGCAGTGGGTGGGAGTGCCCTTTCATTTGCATGCCTTAGGCTGCAAGAGAGGCACACTTCCGGCTACTCCCTGAGAGCCCTTGATGTTTTCCTGTCTGATGTATAATTTTCAACATTTAAAAAAAATCTGTGATAGCTTATGTGCACACATGAGAGAGAGACAGAAATATGAGTGCCTCCCACGGGATCTGATCACACATCAAGCCCCTTCTTTCAGAACTCCAGGCTGTTGAAATTTCGGCACCAGCACATGGGCCTGGAGTATTTCTGGCTGACCTGACCAGGGATTTGAACTGCTGTTGCCATGTGAAATCTAGCCTCTCGAGCTGTGCTTTCCTACTACATTGTGGAGCTGGTTCTAGATGCCTTTTAGAAAGGGCTCAGGACTGGTTTTATTCTGCTACCCCGTGGGGTGCAGACTTTGAACTGAGAGTCAGTAGGCCCAAACTCTGGAGAGTATTGTAAGCCCCAGTGGCCTCTTATGGGCCCCCAAAGGCTAATATGATTCCCAATCTGCCCTTCTAACACCTTGCATAGTCTTTTAATGTCACTTAACAGTCTGATCTGGGTCTGAACTAAACACGTGTACATGACCATAATGGATACATTCATGCTGAAATATTTAAATGTGTTGTACCAGGAAAAAAAAAAGAACAAACAAATCAATTCAACACCACGATGAAAATCCATAAAGTGCATTAAATGGATGAGAGTTGGTTTGAATCACATCCTACTAACTACTAATTACACAATGCTAAGTATTAGAATCCTCATTTTCTCATCTCTGAAATGGGTATAACAGCCTAACTACCTCCTTAATCACAGGGAAGCTTGACCGGAGTGATGGGCCGCGCCTTGTGTGTTACCTGGCCAACAGTAGGAAGGTGCCCATGACTGGTAACCATTAATATTTTGGAAGGCAATGTACATAGTTAAAAAAGTAGGCATGGAATCAGTCTCGCCTGAGTTCAAGTCCAAGTTCTACCATGGTAGTAAAATTTCTGAGTCTGATTTTGCTGCCTAGAAATGACAGTAATAAAATTTAATCTATGAGTTGTCACAATGGTTCAATTAAATAAGAGAGAATGATTGGCCTTTAGCTAGGTGCGTAAGAAAGCAAACTACGTTCATTTCAGCCTTTCCTCTGTGTATTTCGGGTAACTCTGTGGATCAGTGTTCCACAGGCATTTGTCACAGTCCACTTCTGCGACATTTAGTGTTGGGAGTGTGGAGTTTGATGATTTCTACATCTATACAAATGTACTGCAGCCATTTTAAGGAATCAGGTGGATTAAATAATCCTGGAATAACTGAAAAACACATACCTTCTGTCTGGCAGTTAATGGACGTTCTGCATTACCCAAACAGGTAAATTACTGGATCATTTTGAGTAGAAAAGTCACGTTTCCTTTTTATCCCCACTTAGTTGAAACCCCTTCTTTGATTTACTTGATATTGCCATCTTTCATTATTTTCCAGAGTTATTTATTCCTTGCTTTCTCCAAAATGTAATAACTGTTCTAAAAAATTAATTCTGTTTGTGGTATCACTAATGAATAAGTTAGTGTGTCAGTTTAGAACTGCATTAAAGCCTCTTTAAATAGCAAAATAAAATTTGAAAGCTTGTCACTGAAAAAGAAAATTGATCCTGTGCTTCAAAGCATGACTGGGTTCCGATAAGAATTACGATGATAATTTACTTTCTGTCACCTCTAAAGTTAACTGGAGAAAGGAGGAAGGGGGGGGGGGGAACCAGCGTTTTTCTGACAGGCAAACAGGCAAATCACAGACAGGGTAAGGAAATACAAAGGAAAACAAAAATCTTCAAAAAGCTCAGCTTCCAGTCCCCTCCCACCAGTCTCTGTGAAGGATGACTTCAGTCCCTTTCTTAACTAATTCTGTCACTGTAAAATCCTACAGTCATTCTTCCACACATAAAGGACAAATAAGCCCAAGAGGAGGATCTAGATGCTTTCAGTTTTAACTATTCACCAATGGTGGAAAAGGCAGAATGCCTAAGCTATGTCTTTGTGGCCAATAGGATAGCCGTGTATCTCTCACATGACTCTCAGCCCCTGTCTTTCACATGGGCTGTAATTTAGTTCAATTCAGAACTGCAGATAGTACAGCTTCCACCGAGCAAGGGATGCCTGAGCACAAGTAGCTGAGTGCCCAGTGACTTTACGAAGCACTTTTCTACCTTCCTCGGGAGTGCAAACTGGGATTCTGCACCTGCATCGGGGACAGTCTGGCCAAAGCCTCTGCTCTGCCTCTGAGGACATGGAACTAAAGCCAATAACCATTTTGAAATTGTAAGTATACATTTCTTTCCATCAAGTATACTGATTAAACTAGTTTCATGTCATAAGCATCAACTATTTGGCGGTATTTTATAGGGTACTCTTTTGTGTGGCTATCGAAAGGTCTTCGACAGGCAGGAAAATATTCCAGGGACAATTGTTGCATGCTTAAAGATGTTAGAGATCAAGAATGAAAAATAAAAGTCAGGCGTTCCAAAGAGTAGCTGCAGGAGGCTACGCACCGGAACATTGCTCCAGTGTGCCGCTTTGTTCAGAAGAAAACATGAAGGCACACACATATATACTTAGTCCCCTGCTTTCGCTCTTTCTGTCGAATCAGATCTGATCTGTCCCCAAGAAAAATAAAACACAAACTTTGCTGACTCCACGGACAAGGGCACCGCAGACTTTCCAGACATCTGACAGTTATTATAATCAGCGATGGAAGACTGCTAAGACACTTGGGGGCAAAACCTCTTATATTCTCAACAATGGCTTCAAGCCAGGGCTCTCTTTTTTATTTTTTAACCACCAGTTTTAATTTTATAATGATGGAGACTGAACTGATTTCAGTGTTTTCCTGGACAAAATGTGAAATAAGAAGCCTCGGCCAAAGTGAAGGTGACTGAGAGTGGCCAGTGGAAAGACAGAAGGAAAAGACAACCTTGTGCTTTAGGATCCAGCCTTCCATGTATAAAGATTTTTTTTTTTTTTAAATTCCTAATAGGGTGGAGTGAGGATGTGGGGGTGGGGAGGAAGCATGCGGAAGCGTCTTTATAGAAGAATGCTTAAAGAATAAAATAATCGGGGAATTCTTCTTCTAGCTGGCAAAAAGGTATGGTTAGCATCGAAGTTACTTCCCTTCATAGTAAGGGTTTTTGATGGAGTTTCAAACAGAAGCCACATACAAACCAGTTTTTTTATTATTATTATTTGTAAAATAATTAGAAACAAATGGAGGAGAATGTTCCTATATTACTGCTTTCTTTTTATATTCAGCTAAGGTAATCTAGCAATGCATTATGCCTTTACTTCTAGAATCATCCAAATCCTTAAAAAGTTATAAGTCAAGTCTCATAAGAAATTAAAAAGCAAATCGAATCATTGCGATTATGACTGATGGCGATTTTTTGAACAGCAAACCCTTCAACAAAAAGAGTTTGTAAGAAAACATTGCCGTCCTCATTTTTAAAGGAGAATATTAACTCCATCAATTATTGAAAGGAATTATTCAAAGGCTCCAGACATAACTAATTATGGCTTAAAGACAGCTGCCAGGGCAGAGCCGGCGTTCTAATTATAAAAGTCCAAGACGTTAGGATTCATTTTTTTAAAGAAGGATTTGGACACAAATTTTCGCATAATCTTTTTCAAATACACCATTTTTTTTTCTTTGTCTGCTCTCCTGTTATCTACACCTCCCCCACCGCCGCCCACTGTGTGCTGAGACACCTGAAGGCTAGACATAATGATCAACAGAGCCCCAGCCTGTCTGGACTCCAGCCAGGTTTTTTCTCCCCCTTCTACAATCAAGGAGCTTGCACGCAATGCATGCCGAGCCTATTCCACTGCTATGTGCAGATCCGGGATGGAAGTCTTACACATACTGCGGAAAGATTAAAGACAACAATATCCCCTTTCTCTTACCCTAGACAGCCTCGATTTTTAACCCTTTCATTACCTTTAAAACCAAGACATCTTAACCGTTCAAAGGCAGGTCTCAAGGGATTCTGCAACTCCTGCACCATATTCTACAGATGCACATGCCTCATTTGGAGGAGAAATCTCATCTCAACAGACCCCCGTCAGGATATTTTAGGATTAACAGCATGCTAACTGAACAAAACATCATTTGCTGGTGCAGGGAATGCATTTTTGAATGAACTTAAGCAGAGTGGAATCTGGAAAAAAGTAAAAGGTCTGTGGAAAGGTTCTTGCAAACCTTGCAGAAGATTATATACCATTTCTGATGGTGGTGTTCTTTAAGCATTTCTTTCTCTTTCTTACACACACACACGCGCGCATACACACACACGCACATACAAACTCAAGATACACACACTGAGCCGGGCAATTATATCACTATATCACAGAAATACCAGGTTAGCTGGTGATGTCATCACATCAAATTTTGTCTTTGTGGGCAACATTTTCAATCACCTAATCGTCAATGTCTGTTGGGTGTGTGCCCAAAGGAAGTTCATGTGTTTGTGGGGTTAACCAACACCCACAGGAAAGGACTATTTTATTTGTAGCTATCTCTTTCTTAAAGATGTGTTTATGAGGCAGCATGGGTATATTTATCAAGATATATGTAGTCAGACAGAGTTTCCTGGTTCTAGGAAGCCTTATTAATATGCTGGTTGAACATTTCATTGGTGGCTGAATTTCAATGATATCAATACCATGTAGCAATGGTGAGCATTTTGAAATCGTTCGAATAAAAATGCTAAGACTGATATTTACTATAACCTGGTGTTTCTTATTTGCTCCTTAAAATATTGTAGCCATTAAATCATTTTTATTATTAACTTAGTCCTTGAGAAGGAATGATTTTATAAAAATGACTTAGAAGTGGTACTCATTTCATATGCTTTTATAGGGATATGTTCTGGATTAGATCATGGTTGAATTAAAAATTTTTGTGTACTCATACATTGTATTTATTTTCAAATCTGCTTTATGTGTCTTACAACTAAATAGACATTCAAGAAACAAGCACTCAGATTTTTATGAATGTACATATGGAAGCACAGTACTGTACTTCAGTTAAATCAAATAGAACAAAGTTTAAGACTCTTACTAAACCATAGTGCCAAATTTGATATGTAAACATAGAACACTGTGCATACATATTGCCTGTTAACTACTGAGTCTAGATATGTAATTTAATCTTCATTAATATAGAATGACCAGTATATTTACATTTCTTATACCAAGCATTTGGTACATAATTTCTAAAATGTTGCAATTGACTCTTCTATTTCTTTACTCTCACATTCTAAGTCAAGTTTAATTTTGAAGGTATTTTTAAATCGTATGCATAGAACCATACTATTTATATGTCAACACACAAAATAATGAGATTCAGTTTGCCAATTTATTGGGTGATTGTTTTTAAACAAATCAAGAATATTTTGTTCTTTTTGGGTTTCATGTAACTATTGTTGAGAAAAGTATATAACTTACAGAACTGACAGATTTTGTACTTGGAAAAAAACAAGCTACGCAAGTTAGGTGACATTCTGTGGGGAAAGACCCCACTGTAAACTGATAAATAACTTTTTGAGAAATTCTCGGGCCTGACTCTGTAAATTTTACATACTACATAGAGTGGAGTTCTTGCCTAATGGAGAGTTATATAATCACTTTATCAAACATAAAAAATGAACAAATAGTTGGATTTAAATTGTACCTACTTTCTAGAAAAAAGACATGACATTGCCTACTAGGGATACAGGTTACTAAAAAGGCATCTTTCAAAGACAAGAAGATAATGGACTTGATTGAAATAGTTGAACTACGTAACGCCAATTCAAGAACAAATGGTTTTTCAGAGCATAACGGAGAGAGAACAATTTGCTATAGTACAGTTTATTCTTCTTACACAATGGTGATGATTTATTTGAAATGGCAGAACAAACATAGTAGATATACAAAAACAACCAATGGATATCTTATGTCAGGAATATATCAAGATTGTTGTGTTTCGTATATTAGAATATTTTTAATCTGATTTTTTAAAGACTTGGCTAAAATGCATACTCTTACATAGCATATGTTGATGTTATGGCCGTGTACATCTTATATGTGCATACGGTTTACTTAGTATATATAGAGTACATTTGAATATAGTCTTATGGCCCAATGTAATTGTTGGTAATATAATAAGAGTTTTGAAAATGTTCTGGAATATTAACCTATTTTAATATAACGAAACTTGGATGGAGATGTCAACTAACTATGTCTATCCTAGTATACTCAGATGCTGGATAACTTAATGTATTGATGTAATTATTGTAAAAAAATCTCATCTCAAAAATATTATTACCACATCAAAAGATACAACTCTAATTTAGCAAATAGAATCAAATGTTGTTAAAACAAACAAACTCTGTTTCTTACCAGTATGAAGATGATTTCTAAAAGAAGACTCAACACTCATAATTTCTGTCTATGAAAAGAGAGATTGGTTTCTTAAAACATAGCCTTTAGTCACAGTCCTGAAATTGAGTAGGGTCTGAGGACTGTGCGGAGAACGCGCAAGAACCTCAAGTTGCAGTGAGAAAAGAAGGGAAACTGGTTTGGCTGCTTCATTGCCTCAAATTATATTTCTCCCAGCCTACGTGCAGATGACACTCAAAATAAATCTGAATGAAAACTATCAAAGTTATTTGCACAGTTTTCAAAGGATTCACCGTCCTGGTGATACCCCTGGAAGGAAAAGCATTCTAAAAGTGATTGAATGTTCCACTGCCTGAATCCCAGTCAAGCTCAGTGAGGCGCTGGGGTCAAATGGGCCCATGAATCACAGATAGGAAATGAACTGTGTATCGCATATTTGGAGGTTTAAAAAGAAACATTTGGGATATTTTACCGTAAACAGATTTGGGGTTGATTTTTGGCACATCTTTTTCAACATCAAGCCTGCAGTTCAGCTGAAATAACTTTTTCTCCATATAGCTAAGACCAGATGGCCACGTGCTCCTTTCTTATTTAGATGAGACTTTTCCTTTCAATAACATCTTTCTTCCTGACCTGCTTAAAAATTCCAGCGAATGAAATCAGCACAGGATTTTCAATTCTAATTGACCATGTGCAGAGGAAGGGCCAGTAGAGAAATCAGTAGAGGCATTGTGAGGCTCCCTGCCTCAGTTTTGTCTTTGTGCTTTACTGTTACTGGCCAATCTAAACTGACTGAAAGCATTTAAGTTTTACTAATATTAATATAGCTGCAAGATTAGTCCCCAGCGAAAATTGTTTGAGTTGTTGTTTCTGTTATTTCATCACAA